GGAAAGAAAAATCATGTTCAGAGGTCACTGTTTTAAAAAAAAGCCATTTCTCTCTCCCTGGTGCCTTGCAAATGAGGAGACACCTCAGATTCACAGGTCAGCTGCTGGTAGCTCCGTGAATTGAAACTGGACCATGAAGGTGGGGAGGGTGGTCGATGGTGAGATGGGCTGATTGTTTGGTTAGTTCTTGCTCAACAGATTTCTTGTTGACACAGTGTAGGTCTTGATATTTAATGGTATCCTGCATCATCAGCCAACTGGCTTAAATTGGGCATGCTTTGAGGACTAGCCTCAGTAAAATTAGGAGCAATTTGTCTTGGTCAAGTGCTGCCTCTGAATTTACCTGCTGTGTGCAAATGGGATGTTTCTCCTTCAACTCCAGATAGAGCAGGGTTGGAAGAGTGGTTGGAGGTTTGAAGATTCATTTCACTGTTCCAGGCTGGTCTAGTAGTTACAGCACAGAAGTGCATGAGGAGACTTGATTTTTTTCAAGTCTCTGCTTGGTATGAACCTGGGTAAAACATGTCCTCTTTAGTATCTGTGTCCTCTTCTGCAAAGGCCACAGTGGATGAAATACCCTGTCACAGGAAGGTCAGAAAGCAATAAGGGAAGGAAACTACTGACCTTTAGGAGCAAAAGGAGAAAGAGGATTAATTTCTTCTTGAACAGTTCAAGAGGGTGCTCAGGGAGTCCAGACTCTACAGAAATGCTCTGACATAGTAAGCTTGACACAGAGGCTATGCAAGCCTCTGGTGCAGCAGTTTCCAGCTGTGAAGTGCAACTCAATCTAAGCTGCATCCCTTCTTTCTCTGTCCTCCCCAAGCCTGTCAATCTGCAAAGTGAGACATGTTGTGTGTGTGGAGGTATACAGCGCTGTGCATGCAGCCCATGTGGTTACCTTTGACTGTGTAATTAACCATAATCAGGCATGTAAAAGAGGAGCTATGTGTGTAGGTGACCAGGCTCCCCCTTCAACAGGGCCATTTGGACACTACTGTCCAGCCCAGCGTTGTGTGTCTGGGGCTGATCTTCCTCTGAGCAAGCCAGGGCTTGATCTCAAGGGCAGCATTTTCAGCCCTGCAACTGCTACAGAACCAGCAAGAAAGAGGCTGGCCACGTTGGTCACCTTGAGAAGCCCTCACAAGCCCAGCTGACACCCCTCTTGCCCAAACAGTGTAGTGGCAGTTGCTTGGGGTGCATATTCCTTGCCTACAGCCAGGGTGGCAGAGAGCTGTGTGTGCCAGAGCATAGCCATCAATGCTGGCAGAGGGAATGGCTTGTCCTGGTTTCAGACTCACATTTCTGTCAAGAGGAGGAAAAGTCCTGCTATGCCATTCTGGCAGCAGCTCTGAGTGGGATCCTGAGAAGGGAAGGAGTACACACACAGGTTGTCAGTGTCCTAGCTCTGAGCATCTGTGACCTCTGGGAGCCAGATGGCTGTTTAATGCAGGAGGAAGCAGGCTGTTGCTTTTAATGGCTCTGCCTGTGCTGCTACTACATTCATCATTTACTGCAAAAAGAGAGACAAAAGATACTGAGGTGTCATAGAATCACAGAATGGTTTGGGTTGGAAGGGACCTTAAAGATCATCTAGTTCCAACCTCCCAGCCATGGGGAGGGACACCTTGCACTACACCAGGTTGCTCAAAGCCTCATCCAGCCTGGCCTTGGACACTTCCAGGGATGGGCCATCCACAACTTCTCTGGGCAGCCAGTGCCTCACCACCCTCTCTGGGAAGAATTTCTTCCTTTTACCTAATCTAAAACTACCGACTTTCAATTTAAACCCACTTACCCCTTGTCCTGTCGCTACAGGCACTTGCAAAAAGTCCCCCTCCAATCCTCCTGGCATCTTTGTTAGCTTGGTCTCAGTAGAGTTTCTTATCCAGTTAATGCATGAAAATAGCAGCTGGGAACTAATATCCAAAACATATCCTGCAGAGTCTGGCATTGTTATCAGGAGTTCCTGGGACACTGCTCAAGTTTTGCCTTCTGGATAGGGTTGCCATTTACTTGGATGTCAGCCATTCAGGGTATCTGTGAAGAGCCATCCTAGAAGGTTTCCTCTGCTGGATCAGGTGGCGTGTATTTTAATGCACAGTTTTTACAGTGTGAGATTATTTTTAGATACAGCAGTCACCTAAAGTCTCACCTCAGAGTTTGAATGGAGTGCCTTGTGTTGAGTGTCAAGAGCCTGTTTTTAGCAGTTAATAGTGTAACGGGAAAACAGATCTGTGTGTGAGGATTCTCCCTCCCATAGGGGTGCAGGCCTTACCCTATCTGGCTTGTAATAAGATGCAGATACCTTACCAGGAAAGAAGAAAAGATTTATTTACTTGATCAAACAGACAGTCTGGCTTCCCTCTCCCAAAATAGGAGAAGTATAAGTAGCAGCAGCATAAAAAGCTTTCAGTTTACCCTGTCTCATGGCTTACCTAGAATGCATATTTAAGCAGCCTTTCTGGAGTGGGGAAAGAGGGGTGTTGCTGGTGAAGCTCAAGCGCAGGAAACCTATGCTTGTGTCTCAGAAGCTCTAGGCTGAAGTGTTGCTTTGTCAAAATGCTTCTGTGGGTTGTGGCACAACTCAGTGAATTTCTGTATGCTTTAATTCCCCGTCTGAAAAATGCATTTAGTAGCAGGCCTTTCTTATATTCTTGTCTAGTCCCTCTAAAGAGGTCTCTATCTTTACATGACGCTCACTGCATATCTGTAGGCGCCCTGGAGCAGTGGGTGCCTTTGTGAACACATGTACATTAGAACACAACAGTAACTAGGTGTGAACTTGATTTTAGTGGCTCTGCTTTCCTGATATCAGTATAATTCTGCAGCGCTGAAATGGAAAGCCTTGGCATAGCATTGCACTGGCACATGCCTGATGTGTTAGGGTAGAAGCTCAGCGGTATGCTGTGAGAATGGGATGCAAGTACTTCCCACTACCTCTAAAATATGAGGGCAAAAATTCAACTCACTGCTGGGAAGATTCACTGCACAGTTACTTTCAGTCAAGGGACAAAATTAACTGTAAGAAGCCCAAAGTAGCCCTTAAACGTATCCAGTTTAGTTCCATAACTCTCCCATATCAATGAGAAAAGCCTGTAACTCTTTGCAGATTATCCTCTGAAGCTGGGGGAACAAACTTCTTGGTCCTGGAATGCATAGGAAAAGCGAAGTGAAGCAGTGCTGGCAAAACTGTTCTGGCTTACAAGTGAATTGTCCTGGAACCTCTGTTCTATCCTCTATTTTGAATATGATGTTTTAATATTTTTTCTTTATTGTTTCCAGTTCCAGCTGCTGATTGAAGTTGCCTGGCCTCTTTTTATCTTCTTCATCCTGATCTCTGTAAGACTTTCATATCCGCCCTACGAGCAGCATGAATGTAAGTACCAAAGACAGCAGCTGCACCCAGGATAGTTGTTGTTTCATAGCTAGAAGGTAGTAATGCAGCTGGCAAAAGGCAGGGGCAGTGGTTGCATGGTTAATTCAAAAATCTTCAGGAAAACTTCAGTGGGTCCTTTTCTTCCATCCTGGGGACTGCAGCGTGTTCTAACATTTAATGTTGCTCCAGGACTGTACATTGCTGCTGTTTTTCTTGCTGTTTCTCGTTTTCTTCACTTGAATTAGCTAAGTATTTTCAATAGGACTGACAAGTCTACAGAACCCACGTCTTATTTCTCACCATTGATCTGTATGTGGCAGCATAAAAAGAGCAGTGCTTAGATCTGTAAGGAAGCAGTCTCATTTTCAGGCAGTAATGTGGGTTAATGTATCACATTAAAAAGCTCAAGAGCAATTCCATTCCGTCTAACCATTAGACTGTCAACTCTGTATTCAGTAGATTCAGCAGTCACACGTTTGTGAAGAAAAAACTATTCTACGTTTCTCACTTACCACCTAAATTGTCACATTTCTGCCTTTCTTTAAAAGGAAACTTATTCTTGCTCTACAAATTACAATCTTTAAGCCCCTGTGTTGATTGACATTTTGATTTAGGAAGCATAACTTGTTAGCAACATGCTCGTGCTTCATCTTACTGTGGTGACAGCCTCAAACTGCAGTTAGCTGACTGTGGGAGAGCTCTTTGTTTATCTTTCCTTTGCCTGATTACTGCAGGGTAAAGTTTAAGGGTCAGCACAACATGAATCTGGAGGGCACTCTGGTGTTTAATTGTTAAAATGGGTGAAGAACTAGCTCTTACAGCACTTACCATGTGGTTCTTTGCAGTGACTGGGGCATTTTATGCTGCTTGCTAGGCTTTCAAGCTAGCAAGGATGCTTTCAAAGCTGAAGTGTTAATGTTGGCAGTTTCCCATTACTCTTTGGACACTGCTGGTCCCATGTCAGCCTAACACACTTTCTACAGTGCTTGGCAGGTTAATTGAAGCTTCCCTAAATTAAATCTCATACTTTACTGCATGACACTTCAATTGCCTTTACTGACTGAATGTTAGTGGTATGAGGAGATACCTGTAGTATGGATGTGAAGCTGAAGAGAAGCAATAAGCAGTCTGCTCAGCTGGTGTAAATAAATAGCAGTCTCAGTGGCAATTCATCTTAGCTGTGGCAGTGCTGTATATAAACTGAAGCCTAGCAAGGGCTGTGTTTTCATAGAGGTGTTTAGGCTGTGGGCTAAATTAGTCGTTAACTTCCTTGTAAATCCCTTGTTCTGGCACTGTGGTGTCACAAGCAGGGTTTTGAGTCTTTCACCTGCAGCCCTTTTTACTTCCTACTTATGCTGACTGTTGTTGCTTTGTCTGCCTTCTCCCTATGTTGTTGTGAATTGTAGAGTGTAGGGCATCTGGTAACTTTTTAATTCACTTATTATGGTTAACTCCACTCCATTGTTACAAAAGCTTCTGAGAACAGGTAACTACATGATTTATTTCATTTAAGTCTGTATTGGTTTCACTGAGCATTCACTCATATGCTGACAGATACAGACGTGTTGTATACTGGAACATTTTTCGCTGAACTGTGAGCAGAGATAGAAAGAAACCTTGAGTTCACAGTGAATGCTTTGGCAACCCTGTGGATGCCTTAAGGGAAACAGGATTGTTATCTGTAGTGGCAGTGCTGTATGCTGTTAGGAAATCTCTTTCAGGTAATGCCTGATGATAGTGGTAATGGAGATGCATGCAGATGCTGTGTAGCCTTTGGATAGCCTCAGTAACTTAATGGTATAGTCTTTCAACAAACAGACAAGATTTTCAGTTCTCTCTTCCTGTTTGAGGAACCAAGGATTGGTGGTTTCTGTGGTCAGACTTTCCAGTCAGGATTTTTTTGTTTCCAACAGCTCTGCATAGTGCGAGGAAGCCTTTTCTGAAAACAGGTGGGAAAATTTTGCTAGCTCTTAAGTGGTACTTCCATGACTTTCACCAGTTCAGTCAGAGAAGACCTCTCAGATTGCTATTGAGCAAGATTACTGACTTGTGTCACATGGGCCTTGAATTTTCTTTTCTGTTGCTGTGATCTTTCAAAATACTCAAAATGCACTTCATTTGAGGGCGAAATAAGATCTGACAAAGTGAATTTAATCCCTACTGAAAAGCTAGATGTTTGCAGCGATGTCATTGAAAACTGTCTGCTGTTAATTGTTTTCTGTATAACTCATCTGACTTAAAACTGGCAAATTCCTGCTTTACTCTTGCAGAAGCTGCTGTTAGATTCATCACTATATAAAAAGTTAGCATGAATTCTTGTGTGCCCTTCCTATTTTCGGTTTACTTGTAGCAGTTTCTTTGAGTTCTTAGCCATGTAAAATAAAATGCATGGAGAAAGTGATTTTGTGGGAAATTTTGCAAAAAGAATCTGAGAGTCTTAGCATTTTTCCTTCCTCTCCACATGCCACCCCCCTCCCCCCAGTCCCCTCAGCCAAGAAGAACAAAAAGCAAAATGAATCAAAAGCCAGAGAGCTCAGGTAAATAGCTGTTCTATTTTAAACATAGAACTGGGAACAAACAGTCCCCTGGGTATTGAGAACAATGAACCTTTGGTTCCATCACCTTTCTCCTGGATGGTGTCCTTGGCTTTCTCTAGGGTGGGCTGATAAGCTCCCCATCTTCCTTCAGCTACCTACACTGAACCAGCCTTGCTGTGCTTCAGCAGCTTTGACCTCTCTTCCTCCTGGGGCATTGGTATCTCTGTGGCTGTGGTGGTAGGGAGTCAGCCTGCCATGTGATGGCAAGCATACTGCGAGGACAAGGTGGGCACCAGAGCAGGGAATGTGCATCTCGCGGTCAAAGCCTTGAGTAGCTGCTTTGACTAGCCGAGAGGTACTGAGTAAGGGGCATAACCTTCTTCTGTATTCCCCTCCGTAGTGTGGGAGCAAGGAAGTGAATTTGTTTGTGGAAAGCAAACTGATGACTTCCCTAAGACATAGGATTATACAAGGGAAGCCTTTCTTCCCCATCGTTGGAGGGTAAAGGATTTGCAGCTATCTGACTGGCATACTAGTGGAGATATGCCATGAGTAGCTTGTTACTCTTTGTTTTAACACTTCACCAGAATATGGAAGGTAAAGAGCATGTAAAGTCAGAGTTACAGCCGAAGTAGGTCTTTACTAGCAAGAGTTAGGCTTCAGCAAAAAAACTTGAAATATGACAGGCAGGTGCCTATATGTTTTAGGAACACTGAATTTTTAAGATTCTCTGGAAATCAGCAGTGACATACTTATCTTAGGGAGACCAATGTAGGCATCCACCCCACAGCTGCTGAGCCTTTGCTTGGTGTTTACAATGTGTGTAGTCAAGGTGAGTGGATTTTGGAAACCGAAAGGACTAAAGTGAAATACTGTGGGTCTTGAGAACCCAGACCCTGACTGTGGCTGTCCATGTGGCCTCAAGCCAAATCCTTTTGGTAGTTAAGCATGCAAATCCAGAGAAGCACAGCTGGTTAAAAGCATGTGTGTGTGTGCTCGCTACTGCCAGGCTTTGGAGTTGCCTGCTGTTGGGTATTTTTCTGCAGGAAGTACTATATCCCTGTCAGCATGGCCAAAAACAATGCTGCAAAGGTGAGAGTAGTGAAGAGCTGCTCCTACAGGCTTAACAATGTGCACTTTTTAAGTGGAGGAGGCCAGAGCTGTATAGAGAACATGACCTCAGTCCTTCTTAGTGTTGGCAGTTCTGCTCTTAAAAGAAATGTGCTGCAGTAACCAGTGCAGGATTAGCATAGTCCTTCAAATGCAATGCTGTGTAGCTGTGGCTTGTATCCTATGTTTCTGTCTACTGACTCTTGTGTTTCTTTTCTAGGTCACTTCCCAAACAAAGCTATGCCTTCAAGTATTCAGGGGATCATCTGCAATGCCAACAACCCTTGCTTCCGCTACCCAACTCCTGGGGAATCCCCTGGTGTTGTTGGAAACTTTAATGCCTCCATGTAAGTCTGCTCACTTTTTTGTTATCTCTCTTCTCGTGGGAGCATGGGGAAAAGGTATTTGGAAGTTGCCAGCATTTTTTTATTGGTTGATCAGAACTTGGCCCATAAAAAGGCAAGGTGTAAGTTCTGCTTTTGGAAAGCCTCTTACCCTGGTGCATGACCTTGGAGATGGACAGTGTGGAGTGAGAGACAGATGAAGAGCCGGTGTGGGAGATACTCCCTGACATTTGTCATTTATTACTGGCTGATATGTTGCGGAAAGTTGAGTTTATGGCCATCTTCCTTACACTCTGCCCTGCTTGTGGTATTCATGCTCTCAGGCCAGTTAGGCTTAATGCAGAGTAAAATATGTCAGTAACTTGGAGAAGCATTTGGAAGAAGCAAGGACATACTTAAATTACTGTGCTTCTAAGAGGAAGCTGTTTACAGGCAGCAGGAGGCTCTCTCCATCCCAGTCTTAAATATATGCTTTAAAACACGTGGGTTCCCAGTGTAACTTTGTTTGACCTTGCACTAGCAGCCATCTTTTATTAGGCTTCTTGGATTGTTCCAGGGTGCTCACTGAAGAGAGGGCTTATTGTATTGAAGATGGCAGTGGCATAGCTGAAAGGGACTGAGGTTTGGAATTGGGATGTAAAACTCTATCTGTGGATGCTGGCTTACAGAGCTGATGACTGCTGGTTGTTTTTTGTTTTCCTGTCACCAGTGTTTCCCGCCTCTTCTCGGATGCCAAGAGGTTACTCTTGTACAGCCAACAGGACACAAGTGTAAAGGATGTCCAGAAGGTCCTGGGAAAACTGCGCAAGCTGGGAAACTTCTCTGGCTCAGGTAACAGCATGCTAGAAAGCTACCTACATCTGGCGTTTCTGGTCAGGTTAATTCTGCATGTGTATAAATTCCTGAAGTATACTGTAAATGGGAATGTGGTTATAACTTACAGCTCATCAAACCCTTTTCGGTCCTGCAGAATTACCTTAAGCCTCTCTTGTGTCAGAGCTTTGTGTGCTCTTTAGCTTCTTTGGTGGAAGTGAAAAGGAGTGGTGGTTAATGCCAAGAATAGCAGCTCTTCTGGATGTGAAATTACAGTCCTCAACCCGCTGAAGCAATTTAAAATGTAGAATTTCTCAAAGGAGTCCAAGTAATGTGTCTTTTTTGAAAAACTAGTTATTTGGCTGATTAATCCATGAAGCAGTGGACACAATATAGCTACAACTTAGTGCTCTACCCCCTGAATTCCAGAGGGAAGCCTGCTGTAAGAATGCAGATGAGGAAAAGCTGATGTTAGCCTCCAGTTTACAAACTCATAGCTGATTATTATCTGACAGTGAAGTCTCCATTTCCCTTCAGTGTGTGTTTTTTTTTTTTTTCCGGGTGTCTGAATGACTGTTTGATATAGGTTACTGGATTCTGCTGTTGTCTGGCAGGATTTTGAACAGCAGGGTCCAAAAGAAAATGTTTTATGTTGGGGGCTTGCACAGCCCTATTTGTAATGAAAAATGAGAATCCTTCAATTTTTAGCTTGTGCAAGAAGGTCTGGTGTGCCTTTCTGTCCTGTGCAGATGAATAAGTGATTAGTGTGAGATCATGTGGAAAGCTTGCAGCAGACCTGGGACATGAAACAGCTCAGTCTTGAGAAATGTCAGTCTCACGTTATTGCCAGGTCTGTCTGACATGGCAACTTTCTGGAGTTTTTTTGGGGTACTCTTCTTTGAAAAACTGTTTCTCTTAGCTGCTGTGTTAGTGCTGCATGTGTCAATTGGAAGTGATGGAAAGTAATGGTTTAGAAAGAAATACAGCAGGGAACCCAGCCATCAGGTGTCTTCACCTACAGCCTATATCCAGGCACATGGAGATCTTTGAGTGTAGGTATATTTTAGTGTTTTGTGGAAGTTACCCTTGGTTTTAGAGTTGTGGTTCTTCCTAGGTCTCTAAGCATGGCTCAGGCAGGCTCCAAGAACAGCAGTATCTGACCTGGTGTGATGTGACTAGTTCATGTCTGATGTGTCCTGAGCACACAGGTAAAACGGAGATGGTATTTTTAAATCCTTCCGTGTGTTGCTCAGTGCACTGCAGGGCACTTAAAAATGATCAGTATTTAGTGACAGATTGGCAGATGTGTGGTGGCTGCATGTACAGAGACAAATTGTGCAAGGGATTTTTCTTGGATGTATAATCCTCCTCTTTCCCCTTCAGGGTTGTGCATAATCCTCATGTGTCCAGATCTGCAGGTGATACTGTGGTTTACTGCCTCTTTAAGTATTAGTTGATACTTCTACTTATGTGTAAGGAGATCACTTCCTTGCTGGGCTTAATGTACATACTGCCAGGCTCCCCTCTTTACTCTGAAAACTGTTAAGTGGCATCGTCATGCTTTTACCTAAATCTGCAGCAGTTTAAAGGGGGATAGGAAGCAGAGTGAACCTTTTGTGCAGAGATGGACACATAATGAACAATGACTATGTCCCAGGGAGAGGTTTAATACTGTTTTTCATGGATCCTTGGTTTGACTTGATCTTATAGGAAAAAGCGCTCTCTGTCAGAATGATTGTTGTTACTGGATTTTACACTTTGTGCCTCAGTAGTATCTGCAAGGTAACTCTTTCGGAGAGAGTTGATACGGGTGTTTTGTATTGAAACATGCAGTGAAAATCAGACATGGGCATTTACAAGAAAACAATGAAAGCCCTAAGCTAAAGCTCTCATTGCTGGGAAGGTTGAGGGGGAGGAGTGATTCCAAGAAGCATTTCACATAGGGAGTATTATACAAGTCAAGTCAGAAGGCTCGTGTTTCTCTATACTATAAAGACTAGCAGACTGACTGCAAAACCAAGCCTCAGACCAGTCATCAAAGATTGTATTTTATTATAAAAGTATTTCAAATGTGTAATAAAAATATCAAGCCTCTGTCGTCAGAGTGACAGACTTCCCATTATTGGGAAGGCTTATAGGGAGCAAAGCCTGTTTGTCCTTCTTGTCATAGGTTCACATAAAGACTTCAACTTGGGGGTCCCTGCTGCCCACTCGTTGGCTGCCTGATTCTCTAAGAGCATGCGTAAACCAGCATCCTCTAATCTTACAAGTACTTGTGCATTTGGACTTAGCAGTGCTTAGATTCCTGTGCAAAGAAGAGAATTAGAGGTCAACTCCTCAACTGCTGGGGTGTTAGAGATGCTTCAGTCCTTTCATCTCTAGGCATTTCTTCCAGTGACTCTGGGAACCGAAGAAGACAGTAGTAGTGGATGTCAGATGTAAGCACACCTCCAAATCTGAAGACACTGCCTAATACATTTATTTCCCCAGTCAGCAGGAGAGCCAATAATTGAAGACATTTCTAACACCTCTGTTCCAGCTCTGGCCTAGACCTGAAGCCGTGTGAATCAGTGGTGCAGAGATGCAGCTCATGTTTCCCAGTGGGAGGGATTGTGTGCTCCCTGCTGCGTGATGTGGGCTGTGCTATACATTCCCTCTCATGCTGGTGTGATATCCTGTTTTCACACACACTTCCCGCTGTTACCTGATGGCTTTGAAACAGGTTTCAAGATCTTCCATTGCTAGAAGACAAAGTGGATCTGTGGTATAGATATTTTTCTAATGCTAGCCATGCAGAGCATGCGTGTCTTTGGCTTCAGATATTTGAATCTGTTTAGAGAGCATTTGCCTACGTCCTTTCACTTCAAGTTTCTTTAAAACAATCCTCACAGCCTAGTGTTAGAAGTGAGACTGCCAGTGTTATCTGCTCTGAAGTTAGGCATGTGCTGGATCCTGGGGAAGGGAGACTAGCTTAAGATGTCAGGGTGCTTACACAGATGCCTGCAAGTCAGATCTTCATTAAAGACAAGGTAGGACACTAAGATTTTGTTCAGGCAGTGCTGTATGTTCGTGCCAACAGGCTTTGTATCTCAGTCACTTCTTGGTGAGATGGGAAGCAATCTCTTGTAACAGGGCTATATGTCTGTGAGTTTGAGGGTGGCTCCTGTTCTCCACTGCTCTGAGCTCCAGAAGAGCTCTGGTAGAGAGAGGGGAAGGTGTTATCAGTAGGGAGTAGCCCACCCTTACTTCATGTGGCACTTTTTTCTGGCCAGGATGAAGTACTAGCAGGCAGCTATCATGCTGTATGGGTACTGCAGTTCGAGGGCCACCTTCTGCAAGCCCTGAGCAGTGAAATCTACGTGCAGGCACATGCATACCTTATCATGTTCGATTTGGCAGTCAGATGCCAGGTGCCCTCCCCATCCCAGCACTTTTAAATCTCTGTCCAGCAATGTCACCAAGGTCTTCAATGCTCGTGATAAGGCAGAGTGCAAATCGGAACAAAGAGTCAAAGACCTTGATGATGACACTTCCAAGAGCGTGACATTGCCGCTGGGATTGCCACCTGCGGTGGGTTTGGCTCACTGCTTGCAGGCACTGGATTTGCAACTGGCCTCAATGCCACTTTAGCAGAGGATAAAGTTTTGCAACAAATAAGCTTTGCTCCTGTTTTGAAAGGTAAAGATAACAGCTTGCTGTTGGATCTGAAGCACGCTTTATTTCTCCCTTCTCTTCACAAGGCTCCCAAATACTTTCTTCTGCAGTGTCATGGGGTAATAAATCAACAGGCAAAATTAAACCCACTTTTTTGGTTGTTGCGAGCAGTTACGCATGTAAGTCAGTCTGGCTGGTATTTACTTCGTTGCTCTTAGTTTTCAGTGATCCCAAAGGGCATGTTTCTAATTTTCTTGAAACCAACCTAACTATGCAAAATGGAGCAATGAAATAGGCGGAGGGAAACAAACATCATCTAAGAAATTGCATTAGATCTCAGGCTATTATTCCATGTGTGCCCTGCCTTTCCTAGCCATATGCTGGATTAGTATTGCTCGTGGTGTAGGTGAAACATCCTCTGCCAAGCTGCAGTCTCCTGCACAGACTGAAGGAGTTTGATACCTGTCTGGTCACTGCTAATAGGGCTACTTTTATTTTAACAGGTAAAGGATGATGGAGGATTTGGGCTGAAGAGCAGCCTTGGGAGAGGCTTTCTGGTGGCACATGTCTTGCTGTATGGTTATTAGGGTGCTCAGGGAAACAGGATGTTGTACATTATCAGCCCAATGGTATTAAGGTGATAGTTAACTCAGTGTCTTCTCCCTCACAAAAATGGCCTCACACCCTCAAGCTAAATATTTAAACAGATTCTTATACCTACCTACCTCTCCCTAATTAATCTGGTTTCCTCCCTGACTTCCATTGGGAAGGATCCTTGCAAAAACCAGCCAGGCTTGAATGAAGACTAGCAAACCAGGTGGCCTTCACCCCCGGAAACACCTGCAGAGACCAACTGTGGCAGGGTGGCATTCCT